GCCAGGTTTCCCTTGATCTCAGTAGGACTAACCTGGTTAAATGAAGGTTAAATAAACAATAACAAATGACATTAAATGTGAATAAGTTAAACTGTCTTGGATACCCAGGTCTCCATGACAATCCCTGGTTGTGTGACTGCCAGATCTCCATGCTGATGTCTTTGTCCATGACCCTGGGGAGTACTGTAGTCCTTATGGACCAGTTGCTGATGTGCAGTAAGTCTCTGAGTCAGTCAGAGTTGCTGCAGACCCAAGCTGAGCTGTCCCGCTGTATGAGGCCTTCAGTCCAGCCTGCGGCCACCAGGGTAATTTCCCCAATGGGCAGCAATGTAATCCTACGTTGTGACGCCACTGGCTACCCAACGCCAACACTGACTTGGATCAAAACCTCAACCTACACAAGTAAGCTGTCTCGGGTGTCAAGTAATGTCACTAACATTTGAGGATTAGTTGAGTCATGCTGTGATTTGTTTTTCTGTACAGATTGTTGCCAACAAGACAACCTTGACAACTCTGAACAGCTGCCTAGGATTTTGGAGAGTTGTAAGTGCAGGTGCATTGTCGCTTCTAATAAACATTTTTATTTCATACAGTGCTCTTACTACTTCAAGTGCTGTATCTGTATTTGCATCCATAACAGAGAAGGTATTTAAAGTATTTAGAACTGAAGTGTAGGGAACAGTTTCTGTAGGTAGGCTGTTTCATTGTTCTGACTGTTTTTCACCAGTTTTTATCCCTTGGTTCCCTAACTCCATGGTTGCAATAGTTTTGAACAACTGACAGTTAATACCAGTGTCAGAGGACATTAATGCATGTGAGACTCAGTACTGCGATGCACTAAATTTAAAGATTGGGAATTTTAAGTGGATCATTACTGATGAATTTAAAATGTCAATATTATGGCCTTTATTACTTTTTTATTTATTCACTGCAGAAAGTAATCTTGTACACTACTTTACTACAGCACTGGAAATATTATGATTACTACCGCTAATAATTAATATCAAAAGTAATAGTAGAAGTAGCAATGGAGTTTACTCTGCAGCATCACCTGATATGCAGATCAGTTAACTTGCCTACATAAAAGCAAAAGTCCCTGTTTTAGGTTC